CAAGATTATCTTCTGTGTCTGTGTTAATTGGTTTCCCTTTTCTTTGTTGAAGAGGGTCTGTGCAATCCTTCTGCCTAGTCCGCCATCTTGCCCCGCCTCCTTCCCCCTTTTTTTTGTTGGGTGCCATCAAGTTGATTCTAACTCAGAATCGACTCCTAGTGACACTTGTGACAAAGTAAAACCCATAGGGTTTTCTTGACTGTGATCTTTTTGGGCGCAAATTGCCAGTTCTCTCTCCTGAAGAGCTGTTAGATGGGTTTGAACCGCCAACCTTTCTATTAGCAGCTGAACACTTAACTTTTGGCTACCAGAGCTCCTTTTCCCCTCTTATTATACAATTTAAAAAAAAAAAAAAAAAAACATGGAAAGTAGGAGACCTTTGATATGGGGAACCAAAGTAAATAATTTAACCTCAGAGTCTCAATTTTCTCACCTATAAGATGGCAGTGTGGGACTAAATTTTTCTCTAAACCTCTTCTACCTCTGTCATTCCTTGATTGTCTTTCCCTTTATGTGGCTATTCCCTCCTCTTCTTCACATCAGGTGCCTCTGCCTTTCCGTCTCCTTAAAATGGCCATACAGTCCAATTGGAATATGTTCCCATTGTTATTTTATTTTGATAGAACTTTTTTCCTATTCTCAACTTAAAAAGGTAATGACTACCATATTATACATTCACATTCCCTCTTTCTCTCTCTTTCACAAATATTTATTAAGTACTGACTTTGTAAAATGCTGAGAATAAAACACTGAATGATGAGATTAACCTGACCCCTCCCCTCATGGAGTTTTTAGGACATTGGGACAATTTTCTGGTAAAGCAAAAGCCTTGGAAACCCAGCTGTTGGAACTCTTGTACATAGAGGCTTTCCATAATTTTTTGTGTTCTTCATATTACTGTGTGCAAATAAAACATACAACTTATTATTTTTTTTCTTCAACATACAATGAAGTAATCATTTTGAGCCTTTACCTTCTACTTGTTCAAATTAGGGCAAGTTTACTCTCTTGAATAAATTGACCTGATGCTTTGTGCTTAATTTTTGGTTACAATCAGTCTTAGCACATGAATTTTTGTCTCTGAAGTTGTCACTGCTCTCATTGGGAACCTATGACATTTTTAGGAAGGTGAAGTGATATACACAGACTGGAAAATGGAAAGAGATCCCGACACTGGACGATTGATGAGTAAGTTTTGGTGATTGCCCCCATTATTAATGAGAAGTTCCTTTTAATTTAACCTATTTGGAGGATCTCACTAAGTACTGAGTAACTCAGCCTTGCTTATGGGTGGGAGAGCACCTAAGGTTTTGACCATATAGTTTTTACTTTAACTTGACTTCTTGAACCAGGAGCACAGTTCTCACCTAGAAGCTTGTTAGAAAACTTTGATTTTGGATCTTGGATGCAATCCCAGACCTACAGAATCCAAATATGGATTTTAATAAAATTCTCCACATGATTTATTTTCACACCAAAATTTGAGGAGCATTGGTCTATATAACAGTTAAATGACTGAGAGATATGGACAATTTAATTAAAAAATAACAATATTGTCTCAACACCTAGTAGCTCATCAGTATGGAAAAATCCAAGTCAATGGGAGATTCTAAGCTATCTTTACAATGATCTTGAAGACCCCAGGACAGTACAGAAGTGATTATTGGACCCTCCTTTGGGGTTGAGACAGGTGGTGTCCATGTGTTTTCCTCCTCCCATGGGTCCTTGCAGTGTAGTAAATTAAACAGTGTGGCTTTTCTAGTCATAAATCTTTGCAAACTTTGTGGTGGAATTTGCTGTAAGCAACTGAGTAGCTCCTGATTTCTTAAGTTATCTACCTGGTATATTTCCGTTAGAAGCAGCATGAAGTAGTTTTCTGGACAGTTCATTCTCTCTCAGGTGTATAGAACTCTGGTGTTGGGATTGGTTGGTTTGGGCCACTCTGTCAGGCTCAAAAGAAGCCCTCCTAGAGGCAGAAGTCTCTCTGACTGGTGGCTGAGAAAGACATGCTGCTGAGAGAAGCATGCTCCTGAGAGACATGAGAGATACACGTTGCTGAGAGAGAGAGAGACAAGAGACAAGCACAGCTGAGAGAGCAATGTGCTACTAAGACTGTCAGCTGCTCAGTGAGACGGCCAGCTGCAAGAGACTAAGTGCATTTCTGAACTTGAATTGTAGCCTGTTGCTTGCCTAATAAACCTCATAATCTGTGAGTTCTGTATGGCCACTGCAGCGAATTATCGAACCTAGCAAAAAGGTGATGGGTGTTGCGAGAGGAACAATTGGTAAAAGGGCTGGAGGGAGGCAGCATGCCTAGCCTCACAGGAATAGGCCTTGGCCTACTGACGGTGATTCTGTCTTCTTCTTGAGGTTAGAGGAGGTCAGAAGATGTGGCCTCCTTGCCCTTTTTGCATTCCTGATGGTCTGGGCACCTGAGCAATAGTATATGGGTCACACCCAAGTATGAGTAGGTATCAGAGTCAGGAGTACAGGTGCCCCATAAGCAAAGCTCCCTCTCTTCAATAGGCTCAGAGCCTTGGAGCTGACTACAGTTATCACTACTTAATGTAAACCTTGGGAGCTGTGGTGGTGTGGTGCCTAACACATCTGACTGCTAACTCCTGCTTCAGAAGGAAGGTTGGACAATCTACTTCTGTAGTGATACAGCTTCAGAAACCCAAGGAGGGGTCACTATGAGTCAGATCCGACTCGCCGGCAGTGAGTAATGTAAAGCTTTGGATTTTATCATGGCATGCAAATATATTTAAAGTATTTTTCAAAATGTGGAATAGTCATAAACAAAGGAAGAGGGCAGCTCCTGGGCCTGCTAGACAAATAAAGACTGGTAAATGGTAATAAGGATTCAGAATGCCACAGGCAGGAGCAGTATAGTGAAGTAGCTAGGTTAGGTTTGCAGAAGGTTGTCTGGTCAATACTGTCAGTGGTTGGAACAAGCGGAAGTATGAGTGACTGATAGAGGTCAGAGCTGTAGCCTACAGAGAGTAGTTGCTAGGGCTGGGGTCTTCACCTCCATACCTCACCCCTTCTCTTCTACTGTGTTTGGTTCACAGACAAGAGTATGCCTCAGACTTGAGAAGGCTTTCTTTGTCATCCTTGCCTTCAGGGTAGCCATTTCTGTCTTGAAACAAAAGCATTTCTGCTTTTCTTATATAGCGTCACCTGACCAGAAACACAAATGTATGTGAACCAAATAAGTGTTATGATAACAACAGGGCATTAGGAGATTAGGTGTGATGCAAGGGAGGGTCAAGTGCACATAGAATTCAGACTAATTTTTTTAATATTCTTTCATTTAAATCACATGATTTAAACATGAATTTCTCAAAATTGTATAATTAAATATAATGAATTCCATTCAACTTACTTTATGCTTGTTCATAAATTACTTAGTCAATAACTCATGAATGTTAATTGAGGACCCATAGCAGGCCTGTCTCTACCACACACTCCTGGGTCACAAGCTGAGGGCCTGATGCCATGGCTTAGCTGTTCAATGGTGACTGTCTTGGTTCTCTAGTGCTGCTCTAACAGAAAATACCACAAATGGGTGGCTTTGACAAACAAGAGTTTATTCTCTTACAGTTTAAGAGGCTAGAAGTCCAAGTTCAAAGTGCCACCTCTAGGGGCTGGGTGAAAGCCCCTCAACCTTGGACTGCCCCTTGGTCTGCACACTGACACTGGAAGCTTTTCTTAACTCAGGCGGCTGCTAGATGCTGAGGCTGGCAAACCCAAGGTCGACAAGTAAAAAGGCACAGTCCCAAGATTATCAAACAACACTGCAGGCCACAAATTCAAGTCCAGAAAAAGTCTCAAGATTGGTAGAGCATGGCAGGCTGCTGAATGAAGGCTAGGCTACATGCAGGGTCCAAGCGTGCAAAAAAAGCTAGAGACCTTTCTCAACACTTCTTATCTACTAGAAGCAGACCACATCCCTAAGGCAGCTACTCAGCTGCTCATAGCAGTTCCACCATGGAGTTGATCCCATGGAGTGGGATCTCATCATGGGGTGTAACTACATCCAGCTGTCCAACCACTCAAAACCAGGCCCAGCCAAGTAGACACATAACCTTAACTACCACAGTAATATTGTTTACTCTTGGTTTGAGAGATTTATTTCTAACCCCATGCCCTCTTGGAATCAGCTTTCTGAACTGCTTTTGAGAAGGTCTATGATAAACAGTTTTTTAAAATTAATTAATAAATATAAAACTTAAGAGCTTTATGCTTGAACCTTATGGATATTCATTTGATCTTTCTTACTTTTGTTCATCCATCAAATCATTACTGAGAACCTACTAAGTGCCAGGCAGTGTGCTGGGCGCTGGAGATATAGAGATGAAGATAATATCCTTCCTGTCTCAAGAGATATCAAGGTTAATTGGCACAAAATAGACCACAAAGAAAAGGTTCTACATTCTCCTTTGTTGGATAGTGACTGGAGTCTTGAAAGCTTGTGAGTGGCCATCTAAGATACAACTATTGGTCTCTCCCTGAATGGGCAAAGAAGAGTGAAGAAAATCAAAGACTCAAGGAAATAATTAATCCAAAGGACTCATGGACTGTGTGAACCCCAGCTTCCACAATCCTGAGACCAGAAGAATTAGATGGGGCCTGGTTACCACTACCAGCCACGCTGAAAAAGATCACATTAGAAGGTCTTGGACAGAGTAGAAGAAAAACATGGAATAAAACTCAAATTCATAAAAAAAGGACCAGGCCTACAGATCAGATAGAACCTGGTGAAATCCTCAAGACTGGCCTTTAGTCACCCTTGGGACCTAGAACTGGCTCTATTTTTAGCCGAACTATTTTTTTTGGTTTGTTGTTGTTATGTGCCGTCGAGTCGGCCCCGACTCATAGCGACCCCTCCTTGGGTTTCCGAGACAGTATCACTACGGAAGTAGGATTGCCCAACCTTCCTTCCTAGGAGTGGCTGGTGGGTTTGAACCGCCAGTCATCTGGTTAGCAGGCAAGTGTCTTAGCCACTATGCTACCAGAGCTCTT